CGAACGATCACAGGAAGAAAATCAAGGGCGAGAAAGAGTACCTGAATCTGTAAAAAGATGTGGATATCATTCTTGCATATCAGCCTCATTCTCCCAAGTGGACTCTTCAACTGGCCGATTCTTCCATTGAACCTTGATAGATGCAATCTCCTTTGATCTCAACTTGCGGACCTCTCTATCTAAAATAGCATTAGGCTCCTCTTCATAAGACAAATTCTCGTCAAGAAGAATTGAATCCCAACGAATAATGTAGTTTCCATCCCATGGTAGTTTTTCAGCATAGACACATTAAATACCGGGTGCACCCCTGAGAATCCTGGAGGCAATGCCAATTCATAATCCACCTCCACCACGCGCTTTAGAACTTCAAATGGACCAATATACCTTGGACTAAGCTTACCTCGCTTACCAAACCGCATCACCCCTTTCATGGGTGAGACCTTCAGCAAGACTTGTTCACCCTCCATAAAATCCAAGTCCCTAACCTTTCGATCTGCATATTCTTTCTGCCTGTTCTGAGCTTCTAGAAGCTTCTCCTGAATGAATTTTACTTTATCTAATGATTCCCTCAAAAGATCGGTACCCCATGGTCTCACCTCAAATGCATCAAACCAACCAATGGGAGACCTACATCTCCTCCCATACAGTGCCTCAAATGGGGCCATATCAATACTTGAGTGATAGCTATTATTGTATGAAAACTCTACTAAGGGTAAGAAGTTATCCCAATGACCACCAAATTCTATCACACATGCACGAAGCATATCCTCTAACACCTGAATCGTTCGCTCAGACTGACCATCGGTCTTAGGGTGAAATGCAGTACTAAGATCCAACCTAGTACCTAATTCAGTATGCAATGTTCTCCAAAACGTAGAAGTAAATTGCGTGCCTCTATCTGATATGATGGAAAGTGGAACTCCATGCAATCGAACAATTTCTGAGATATAGAGTTTGGCTAACTTCTCTACATTGTAAGTCACCTTGACCAGAATGAAGTGAGCAGACTTATTTAATCTGTCAATAATTACCCAAATATAATCAAACTTACCCAATGTCTTTGGAAGACCAACCACAAAATCCATTGCAATTCTTTTCCATTTCCATTTAGGAATGGGCATTTTTTGAAGTTTTCCTCTGGGCCTTTGGTGTTCATACTTTACCTGCTGACAAGTCGGGCATTGGGCAACAAAATCAATAATGTCACGCTTCATTCTACTACACCAAAAATGTTGCTTTAGGTCACGATACATCTTGGTTGCACTAGGATGTATAGAATACCTTGAACTATGAGCCTCTGTAAGAATAGTGTGAATCAAATTATCAACATGGGGCACACATACCCTTCCCTTAATTCTCAAAACGCCTTCCTCATCAATTATTGCCTCTTTAGCCTCTCCTCGTAATACCATATCTCGAATTCTGATCAGTTTCTCACCAGTAAACTGTTTTCCCTTAATCTTGTCAAGAAAAGAAGATCTTGCCTCCACACAGGCAAAAAATCCTCCCTTCTCTAGTACTTCCAGCCTCATAAAGTCATTAGCCAGAGTCTGAACCTCTCTAGACAATGGGAATCTAGAAACCTGTAAGTGGGCTAGACTTCCCATGCTCCATGCTTTTCTACTTAAATCATCTGCCACAACGTTAGCTTTTCCTAGGTGCTACAAAATAGTAATATCATAGTCCTTCAGTAGTTCCAGCTTGCCCGCCACCCCGGCTGATTTGGTGACCACCATTACCTTGGCCAACACGTCCTCCAGAATGGCGGCCTCTCCCATGACCACCTCTACCTCTAAGTATTGGGGGTCTGTAACTCTGTTTTGGACAATATTTCCTAATATGTCCAGTCTCTCCACATCCATAATAATTTCTGGAGTCAAGCATAGGTCTGTGTGAGAATGACGAAGTCTGGGGATAACCTCCAAACTCAAAGAAATGCTGACTGGTCTGCGATTGACCCCCAGCTACAGCCTGCAGTGAAGACTGAATAGGTTGGGCTGGGTAACCTCCTGAACTCTGCCCTGTAGAGTAAAAAACCACTAAACTCACCTCTCTTACGGAACTTCTTAGATGTTGACATCATGGTGAAGTCGTCTGGCTTCACCCCCTCCACCTCTATCACAAAATCAACCACTTCCTGAAAGGATTTTGCTGCAGCAGCTACCTGTAAGGCTGGGATCTGCAAATCTAACCTCAATCCTTTCACAAAACGGCCGAATCCGCTCTTGTGGACTGAAGCAAAGCTGGGTGGCATACCTGGATAGTGCACGAAATTTAGCCTCAAAAGCAGTAACAGACATCCTGCCTTGCTCTAGGATTAGGAACACATCTCTCCTCTTCTCCCTCAAAGTCAGGGGTATATACTTCTCCATAAATAAGCTAGAGAATGATGCCCAAGTCATAGGTGGTGCCTGTGCTGGTTGACACTCAACATACGACCGCCACCACATTTTGGCATTCCCCTGAAACTGATTGGTCACAAACTCAACACCAAATCGTTCTACTATGCCCATCTTATGTAGAAGCTCATGACAATCAACCAGAAAATCATAGGCATCCTCAGATTCAGCACCCTTGAAGACTGGAGGTTTCAACTTTAAGAATTTAGTGAAAAGTTCATGTTGATCACTCGTCATTATAGACCCTGTAGTCAATAGAGGAAACGTGCTTACTTTCAATGAGGCATCCATGCGGTGAGCCACAGCAGTTGCATGTTGTACTCCCGTAACCTGAGGTGCTGGTGCAGAAAACACTGGAGGTGTCTGGCCCTGATCAGATAACCCGCTAAGATAAGTAAGAACCTGGTTAATCATCTCTGGGGTAGGTTGGGGTGGTAATTCCTCATCTTGAACCAGCTCGTTTTCCCCTTCTTCACCCTCTCTCACTACCTCATCAGTCGGTGGAGGAGTCACCGCCCTATTACTAGCTGGACCGGGTGTTTGTCCTCTACCTCTAGAGGGCGTCCTCCTGCGACCTCTACCACGGCCTCTTTCCACTACTCCTCCTCGAGCTACAACCCCAATGGTTGGCTCAGACGCACCCTGTCTTGCCGGTGTTGGTGTTGGCACAGTTGTTGCTCTGGTTCTAACCATCAGCATAATAGAGTGAGGATGTCCGATACCAATTTGTATCACATAGATACCAATTGGATCCAAGTAATAGCACGAAAGGAAGAAAGAATGGAATTTTCCTAAAGTCCTATAGCCTCTCAAAGAAAAGTAAGGGCGTCCCCCTACCGTTCCTCAAGACTCTACTAGACTCGTTCTTGTGTGATGAGATCAACAAACCTAACACTCTGATACCAAGTTTGTCACGACCCAAAACGAGCCGCGAGTGGCACCCACACTTATCCTCCTAGGTGAGCGAACCAACAAATCTAAACCCCAACATTTACCAGTATATCAATTATGAATAGTAAAAATAATGCGGAAGATCCAAAACTTAGTAACTCAATCAATTAAATAAACTTCTAAAGTTTAATACTTATTATTCCCAAAATCAGGAAGTCATCACACCAAGAACATCTATCCTCAAATTTCTAAATCTAAGAGTATTTAAGAAGCTAAAATAAGTTTAAAAAAATTGGTCCATGTCCGAACTTCAAGATATCAAGACGTGAGGGAGAGAATCCAGTCCGAGCTAGGAATAATAACTCACCCTGAAATCTAATATGCTGGAGACTGGCTAGAGTTGAGGGCGAGTCGAAGTCGATGGTGCACTTGCTGCACTCCATAAAACAACAAGATGAAAATACAAGTAGGGGTCAGTACAAGGAACACGTACTGAGTAGGTATTATCGGCCAACTCAAAATAGAAAGCAATATATACTGAATGATAATATAAAATCAACCGCAATACTTAACAGGTGACAATCAACAAGTACAAGAACCATTGGCAACAACACCAAGCACACCTATGAGGACTCAAGCCTCCACACCATACTCATTTGGGAAATAGGTTCTTCAAATTTGAGTATATTAACATAATTCAAGATTACTTCTCTTTATTAATATCGTGTCGGAACGTGACACTCCGATCCCATATACCTTGTCGAAATGTGACACTCCGATCCCCTAATACTACCGTGTCAGAACGTGACACTCCGATCCAATATTACCATGTCAGAATGTGACACTCCGATCCATTTATCTCATTATTTTTATTTCGTCAAGCCTTCTTTATGTCAAGGCGTCATCTTAATAGAGAGGATTTAAGATTGAAGATTCAACAGTCTCATCATTCGAACCCACCACAATTACACAATCAAAACATATAAACACACAGTCAAGCACATAGAAGACTTTACAATACCACCCAATACATATCGATCACTATTTAGAGTTTATCTATCACATAGAAATAAACCATAACATACCTCCATCGAAGAATCGTGATCAAGCAAGCTACCTTCCCAATGCCTTTGTTGTCCTCTTCGTTCTCTCTCTCTTGCTCGTTCCCCCATTTCTGTTCTTTTTTTTTCTTCTGTAGATTCTTTTTCCTTTACCCTAATTATCATATAAGCAATTATGATAAACTAACCCACTATTTATTCCCTATAATCTTCTTTAATCCCCAACTACATAAATTATTAAACTTACCTCACTAATTTAATAATTATATTCATGAATAGTCCGAAACACCCCTTTAAAACTTTTAGCGGACGTCTGACTAAGTCGGGGTTACGCAGCTTGTGACGGTCCGTCGTATCTATGACGATTCGTCCTGCAGGTTCACAAAGTTCAGAGAATCGATCCCCGTACCCATATTCCAAGAGTTGAAGTGTTTTGGAACGGAGACGCTCGACGGACCGTTGTGCCTATGACGGTTCGTCCTACATGTCGTCGAGGGTAATGAGGAGAGCAGTAGAAGAAATTATACAAGTATGAGACGACGGAGTCCATCATGGTCCGTTGTGACCATGATGGTCCATCGCGTGATCGGTCGACCCAGTCAGTTTTTATCAAAAATAATTCTACTGCTCGAACCGACTAAACATGTTGTTACACTTCATTTGGCACCGGGTGAATTTCTTGACAATATGCCATTATGTATTTTTCCACTGAATAATATGGAGAGGAGTACAGGTAAATCTGATTTCCAAAATCGGCACCATGTTGGCATCGAATCGCTGTCATGGCATGTGGACAAGGTATTTTGTCCAAATCAAAAATTCTACAAGTACAAGTTCTTCTTTGTAGATCCACAGTAGCAACATCTCCATGCCCAGTGATACTGAACTTGTAGTTAGCGATTTGATGGGCCAACAACTTGTTGCCCGCGTTGACATACTCTGATATGTCTTTTTCAATTGAAGGAACAAATCTATTTGCGTAGTGCACCAGTTCCATACGCCTTTGGTGAAATAACAATGCAAATCTCCTGCTTGTTTCCTCAAATAGAGCGACAATGAGAAATTCTCTTACAACATCAAACATAGCATTCACCGATTCCGCGAGGTTTGATGTCATAATGTTATATCTAAACAACAACAGATAATAATCAAACAAAACATATAAAGTCAAAATAAACTCAATTGAGATGGTACCTATTTCCCGGGCAAAATGCCCTACTCCATGTGTGGAATCCAATATATTCAAAAGCTTCAGCAACCTTTGGTACCAAATCTCTTATTTGATTGAAATGGTCATTGAACTCACATATATCGTACGCCTTTGCTTCTTTATAAATCACATGTGGCAACATTTTTTAGTTATATCATATGTAGCAACATATGACTATTTTGTGACGATATTTAAGTCATATCTACATATGACATATGACTGTTCTGTTGTAAAAAATAAATCACTTGTGACAACATTTTTTAGTTATATGATATGTAGAAACATATGACTATTATGTGGTGATATATAAGTCATATCTTGCTACATATGACTGTTCAATTGTGAAAAATAAATCACATGCGGCAATAATTTTTTAGTTATATCATATGCTTCAACATATGACTATTTTGTGGCGAGATGTAAGTCATATATTTCTACATTTGACTTTCTTTTGTAAAAAATAAATCACATGTGGCAACAGTATTTAGTTATATCATATGTAGCAACATATAACTATTCTTTGGTGAGATGTAAGTCATATGTTGCTACATATGACTGTTCTGTTGTGAAAAATAACAATTATGTTGCTACATATGACTATAATATGTTATAATAGTCAACTGTTACAACATATATAATAATATGTTGGAAACACGAATGCAAATTATTGAAAAAATTGCAGGTACCAAATTAGATGATAATGAATTGATCTTAGATAACTATTAATTTTATATACAACAAACAATGGTGTATAACCCAATCGCTTATGAAGTAATTCCGGTTGAAATAAAACGAAATTTGGTCCACCAGTTACAGATTAGGTAAAACACTGATTCAAGAAGAAGAATGCACAAGCACTAACAGCGAAGACCCACAATGTATGAAAATAAGAAAAAGAAGAGGAGGAAAATGAAGAGAGCAGGAAGAAAGGCAAGCAAGCAAGCAAAGACGAGAGTAGAAGAATAAGAATAAGAAGAAGAAGAAGAAGAAGAAGAGGACGAATACGACGGATGGAGGCGGGGGAAAAGCTTTGATTTCCTCTTTTGGCTAGATATTTCCCACTAAAATTGGTTAAATTATGTTTGGTATAGTCAATTTATCATTTTATCCCTCATTTAATTCCAAACAAAAGTAGGTTAAATTACGATATTGTGAAATTACCCTTTTACCCTTCATTTAATTTAGTGGACCAAACTGTCAACTTATAAACTTGAGGGCAACTCCACAATACTTAATCATTAATCACATAATTATCACCTACACCCAATACTTAAGACTAATGTCACCACCCATTTATTTTGAAACCTTAATGTCACTTTTTTTTTAAAAAATCCCTAGTTACAGACCAAAGAGAAAGGATAAGAGAGCAGTTCAAAGTAGAGTTTCTCAACAGCGAGAAGTAGCAGTAATATGAAGTTAAACCAGCTAGCTAATCCAAAAGTTTCTTCCAGGAAGTAATCCAACAAATGTTTCTTCCTTATTGTTTTCGTGAATTCTTTTTGCTTGATTCATTTATTATGTTGTACAACATGATGTCCATTTATCTATTATTAACTTTTTCATACCTAAGATTGTAGGGCAGGCATCTAAAGTTAACTTTAATCACTTTTGTAAATGTCTAATATTACGCATGAGCCTTTTATACTTTTTGTTGTACGATTGACTGGAACAATGTATTGTCCCCTATGTGGATTAAAGTCAATTAACTAGAGAACTATTTAACTCATAAGATATTTTATATGTAATTTTCATTACTAAGTGGAACTGCAAAATTGTGTTTTCTTTTGATGATAAAAAATTATTAAATATGTATATTTACGCTCACTTGTAATATAAAAGTTTTTGTTCAGGAGAATCAATTATATTAGCATGACAATCAAAACTCATCCTCTCCTATCATGACTGGTTTCATGGACATATGAAAGCATTATGTTTGACTTTTCATAGAGGTTGAATATAATTCTACAATAACTATATCACCAACAAATTAAAAAAAATTCATAATGTGTGATTCATCTTGATTATGAGGTCAATAAGTAATGACTCGGGGGGTTCAATTTTTAAAAACAAGTGAAGTATTGTAGTATACTAAATCTAAAAGATTGTTCTACGATCAATATTCAGTTATGCTCCTTGTTGTGCCACACTTTTCTATTGTTCTTCTCATGGTCAAAATTATTGTATGAACTTCGACTTTTTTGCATTTTGTTCCTTCTTGTTTTTTTCCCTTTTTCTTGGAGGGGAGATTAGGTCTTCATGGAGCTTTTCAATGTATTGATT